ACTGTTAAAAATTTTTAAATAAGTTTAATTTCTATTCTTTTTCTTCAAATGACACTATACAATTGTACCTAATCATTAGTCTTGTAAAAAAATGTTTTTTCAATAGAAAAACTGTCCTTTTTAGAAAAGGGCCCATATTGTCGATTTTTTGTATTTTCAAAATTAAGAGGGGGGGGGGGGGTGGTTTTAAAAATTTAAAACCTGTTGGTTTTTTATTTTCAAGGTGCCCTGAACTGGAAACAATTCTTATCTGAATAACTTCCAAGAAGAACCAGAGATACAACAATTAGTTGGTTTCGCAATCTTTAATTCCGTTTTTCTCGAAATGAGGTTTTTGGTGTTCTAAACTTTGAAATTCCGTAACTCAGCAAATTTTTGACCAAAAAAGTTCTAAGACCACTTAAAATTTTTCAAATTTTGCCAGGAATACGCCCATATAGATGACTCCAATAGTGCCAAAATAGGTCCTTTTCATGTGGACGTCCACATATTTTTATATATTATATTATTATTATATAATAATTATTTATATTATTAAATAACATAAAAGGGATTTTATTTCGGACTTTAAATAATGTCAATTTATTTTTATTTATTTAAATGTATAACTTTAGATATTTATTCTTCTTTTATTTAAATAGATAATCAATTTTTAATAATTAATTTATTATTATAAATTATTAGTTATTAATTACTGTGATGAGGGGAGAGTGGGGTGAACAGGCCAGGTGTCAATATCTCCGAAATGGCGAAATTGTCAAAAGTGCTATTTAGAAATTTGAAACAACCATGTGTAGCATTTTTTTACTTTTGTTTGTGCAACGCTGGGAGCAAAAGTATTTTTTTTTTAGTTTTTTCTACACTTTTACGAATTTTTTCTTAAGGAAATTCTGAGGAAATCGTGTAATATTTCCAAATATTAGGTCTTAGGTTTTAAAAGGAATCTACACACCTCAGGAATATTTACCACCAAAAACTTTGATGTATTTGCAAAGCGTTTTTTTTAAACAAATATTTATTCTCAAAATGAGCCTGTGGGGCAAACCGGCCATAGGATATTTTCATTGTATCAGAGTTTCAAGAAAATTATTATTAATTAGAATGTTTTTTTCATTAAAACATTTACTTTCAATGAAAAATAATTGTCTTCCAATGAGAATTAGACCCTTTAATATTGTTTTCCTGATAATTTCAAACATTTTTGTTTTGTTATTAAAAAAAAATATTTATTTAATTAAAATTCAATCCTGTATTATTATTTACATTATTACAACCATTGCTCACATGATTCTTTATGTTTGTTGTTATTGTAGATTATACAAATGTAATATTATAGATAAAAACCCAACTAGCTGGTTTACCCTAGGGGTGGGGCATACCGGCCAGTTTGCATTTTTTAAAGTTAACACAGCAACTAAACAATAAAAGATAAAGTATAGGTGTCTCTGGGAAAATGTTGCGCAATTAAATGATCTTTCAAACAAGCCATCGAAAAATGAAATCGGTTGATTCGTTTAGTCAAAAGAGTAAAAAAACCGTTAGTATGGCCGGTTTGCCCCACTCTCCCCTATTTATTATATTATTAAATAGATTTTCATTATTTATTACATTTTTTATATTATTTACTAGCTGTCGTACCTGTCTTCGACGGGTTTTAGTTTCTACTAATATATTTGAAGAGGTGTCTACCAATCGGGAATTTAATTTGATTGGGAAAAACTAATAATTAGTTACATTATAACTACTTCATTAGAACAATATTACTGTTTGAATCAGTAAATGACTTTTCCTATCAAATACTATTTTCAACTAATTCAGATTTACAGAACAGTATTTGTCAGTTTGTAGTACTTTATGCGTTTGTAGTATTTCAATTAATGTATTAAAAATTAATCCTAATTTTCCACCAGCTTTTGGAGTTATGTAGAGTCTAATTCGAACTAATTGTATCGCAAGTATACCCTACGTTACGACTACTAAAATCTAAAATAAGACCTATATTGTAGGCTGAATGTAGGGCTTAAATTTTGACAAATAAAAATATTACATCAATAAAAATTAAAGCAAAAAGCAATTTTTTAAAAACGAATTAATATAATAAACCATTTTTCAATTAGATAAGAAAATTCCCGGTTTGGCAAAAAATTCCCGATTTTTCCTGGTCGAATTAAATTTCCGGCTATTTCTCGGTTTTCTTTCGCGGTTGATAGACACTCGGTTAAATGTATGGGGATCATTATTATATGTAAAGCTAATCTCAGATGGCAGCACCATAGCAAGATTGTGACGTATGTGTATGATACGCTCCTCTCTCGATAGAGGCAGCACTAAAATTCGCGGTTTAATTCAAATTAATATAATAATATAATGAATACATTTAATTTATTGCGAATTCTACGTATAATTTAGAATATTGGCAAGCAACATGGGCAAATCGACAAAATACTTTCCCACAGTAAAATCTTAAGTGGAAAAAATCATAAACTCAAATACAATAGAGCATGCAGTGGAGGCGACGAAACTTAATCCTTCCCGTAATAAATATTTTAGGATTATTTGAGTATAACACTAAAAATAAGTACATGTTTTACTTATTTGTCACGTTTTTGAAATTCACATTTATGGTTTTATTGCTTCTTAAAGAAACTCGAGTAAATCGCGCATCTGGTTACCATGAAACCCCAAGACCCTTTTTTTTGCCTGAGCAATAAAAAGGGGATGCTTTTGTTTCGTCATCCCTGCTGCATGGACTAGTTAGCAAAAAATCAGAGACACCTACTTTTCCGCCTTTTTGGGTTTTTCCTCTTTTTAACCAACTAGAGCGAAGGAGGCGTACTTCTGCCTTCCTTCCTGGCACTCGGGGATGGGGGCGGAGGCCCCCAGGATGGGACCGTAGGGTCTAGGAGGAAAACGAGAAGAGAGAAACTGTTCTACTTCCGAAGTATTAACTCGTGTTCAAAAGTAAAATAAACTTAATGTAGAACGAACTTCGAAGTCTTTAATTTAATCGAAAATTGCCTATCATAATCCTACAATTATAATTCAATAAATTAACAGTTTACTTCACCGCGAGAGTTGAGCTTCTAAGCTCTTTGTTGCGGAAACGAGCCATCACCGTCGAGGATTCCGCTTTGAAAATAAATTCAGAATCTAAACTCAAGAACAATATTATCATTCTTATAACAGTTTGAATTTTAAGAGTTTTGCCGCGTGAATCTGACTCGGCGCGTTATGGAGCTCTCACAGCTCTGCCTGCCTGCGCAGGCAGTAATTGGAGTAAGAGAGAAAATCAATTAGAGTGAAAGAGACAGTAAATTCAAATTTATATGCTGCCTACTAGCTGTGAGAGCGCCTTTACAATCTTATAGTAGTGCTGCACTCTACTGGTCAAGTTTGGCTGTGAGGATCCCCATTGGTAGAAACTATAACACATTCGATTCCTACATGGGAATCTACATGGGATCCACTTTCATAAAGGAAACCATTTGGATTCCCATGTAAAACCGTATATGGTAAATTGCGACACGATTTTGAGTGATAACTATACCTTAAATAAACCCAAAAAGCCTATATTTATTTAAGAAAAAATCCCATGTAAAATCTATTTTTATTTTTCATGTAGGTATAATTTTTCCATATCCCTATTGAAAATTTCCACATGGGATTTTACATTTTACCCGTTTTTGCTTAATGCCCAGATAGAATTTTGGAAAGCAACAACATACCCCAAACATTTCTAAAATTAATGAAACAAAATTTTAATTCATAAATAGGAATTTGTTATTTATCTTTATAGTCATTTTTAATACATTTCTAGAATTCAAAAATAAGAAAATTTTGATTTATAAATCCCAATTTGCCCTAATGGCGTTTTAAGGACTTTATATGTTACCGTACCCGCTGAAGTTAAATTTCAGTTTTATTGATGCTTTTACTGTGCCCTTTATATTGAACATATACATATATTTTATTTTCTACGTTAAATGAAATATGAAAATACATGCTATGAAATTTCCAAACTTAAAACATTAAAATAACAATTCACAAATTATTTGCAAACTCACGTTAATTGATTTTAGACAATTTGTAATAGACATCAAATTCATGACTCTGAACTTGTTAATAAAATAAATGTAATGAATGTAATTTAAAATTTTAAAACATCAACCGATATCAATACCAACTTCATAAAAAATTAAACAATATTGAAAAAAACAAATTAAAAATTTGGTCGAAAATCAAAAATATGATTTTGGCTTAAAAATTCGGATTAATTATTTATATTTTTTATTTTTATAGTGAAAATTAGTTGTATTTATATTAAAAAGTAGCTACAAAAAGTGTCACATCAATTTGACAAAAATTGAAAAAATTTGCATTTTTTCAATTTTTTGAAATTTGTGAAAAAAGCTATAACTTTTGTTCAGCTTAATATTTTTCAATCGGATATGGCTAGAAATTTAAGTTAGACCAATACCTAAGAGACTGTAAAGTTTCGTTTTAATCGGTCAAGTAGTCTTTGTGTTTATCCCGGACAAAATATCGCGGACAGACATACATACATACACACAGACATACATACATACATACATACATACATACATACATACATACATACATACATACATACATACATACATAATTTTTTTATTGGCATTTTTGGAATTCTTACTACTTGAATAGAAAAACTAAATAAGAATTTTCAATTTCTATGCAATGTACAGACAAAAGTCTGATCTTATTTATAAAGATTTATTCGTCGTTCAAAGCGGAAAGGCAAGAAGTAGGCATGATAATATGAATAAAATATTGTTTATTTCTTTTTCATATTATTTATTTATTATTAATTATTTAAATAAATAATAATAAACTGATCTTATTATTTAAAATTCAAAATAAGCATGAGTAAAAAATAGACCAATAAATAATAAATAAATCAGCAGAAAAAAATTTCAAAACTCAAATTCACAGAAAATATTTGTCAAAAAAGTACCAAAAGATTTTTAAAAAAATCGTTTTATTTTTTCCACTAAAACGAGTTCAATTTTTAAGTAAACATAGAAAGTAATAACATAAATGTTGAGTTTACATAAAAATATGTACAAAGAATAAGAAAAAAATAGTATTTTTTTATCCATCTTGTCCACTGTGTTCTTTTACATATTCATTGGCCATATCTCGAACATTTTGAACATTCTTTTCATTTCCATGCTGTTCTTCAAAATTAATGTACTTTTTAAACAAAACCTTCATTTTTCTAGGTGGAAGTACTTGTGTCGTAACAGATCTCTCAAGAATTCTTCTCGCTATTTCAATATCTCCGGATTTAATCAAAGAATCCACATAACATGACCAAACATCAGTTCTTTTCGGGTAAGAATTCAAAATTTGTTCAAAAAGCGTTTGCGATCTCTCTTTATCGCCGTGACTATTCTCCATATTGGCGAATCTTACAATCAAATTCACATCTGCAAAAATACAAAAAAGAAAAATTAAAAAAAAATTTAAATATTGGAATCAGAGCTCGAACCAGTGAAAGCATTTAAAAATACGGACTTTACGGACCAATTACTGACAAAAATATAACCAGTCCAAGTCAAATAAGAAAACATTTTACTAAAAACTATGAATTAAAATTTTTCATAACTATAAAACAAGAAGATATCTCGGAGTGTTCGATTTCTTCGTGTTTTATAATAATTAAAGATGGACTAATGATAAAATCATTATTTTATAAGAATATTGTACTTCTTCAAAATTATTTTCATCATTTCAATTCAATTATTATTTTCAAGAATTTTTAACTAAACTTCTTCTTTAAATCAATTATTTTTAATAATTTTCGAAAAAGTTTTTTGATAATTTTCAAATTCATTTCTTTACAATATTCAATTTTACGAAATTTCAATTATACGTACATTCTTCTTCAATTAACTATAGATATATTAGAAAATAAAAAGTTCAAATAATAAAAAAAAATTCAATTAAACTTTTTCAAAAAAATTAATTTCAAAATTCAATTATTTCTAAAAATGCATGCTATATAGCTTTTAATATTAAATTATTATCTAAAATTTTAACTGAAATTCATTTTCAAATCAATTTTTATTAGAAAATTTTACTAGAATTCAATTATTTAAATACAAGAGTAGATAATTAATTGAATATTTCTTAAAATTCAATTCTCATATAGAATTTATTACTTTTGAACACAATCAAATTTCGTTTTAAGAATTTTATTAATCTTGAAAATAATTAAATTTTTTCAATAATTTTGTAACTTCTCCAAAATAAAATTTTTTTAGTGTATTTTTAATTAAATTTCTTCTATAAATTCATTATGTACCTATAATAATTTTCTTAAAAAGATCTTTAAGAATTTTCAAATTCATTTGTTTACAATTCAATTTTATAAAATTTCAATCACTATCTATAAATTTAACAATTTATTTAATAATTTTATGTTTCTTAAAATTCAATTCTCATAAAGAATTTTATCAATAAATTTTTAAATAATTCAATTCTTTGGAAGAATTGTAATAAAATTTTTAAGAATAACATTTTTCAAAAAATTTGACTAAAATTGTATTACAAATATTTGAAATTCTACTATGAGTTTTATTATTTATGAAAATAATTGAATCCCTAAAAATTCAATTATTTCTAAAAATGCATGCTATATTGCTTTTAATATTAAATTATTATCTAAAATTTGAACTGAAATTCATTTTCAAATCAATTTTTATTAGAAAATTCTACTAGAATTCAATTATTTAAATACAAGAGTAGATAATTAATTGAATATTTCTTAAAATTCAATTTTCATATAGAATTTATTATTTTTGAACACAATTAAATTTCCTTTTAAGAATTTTATTACTCTTGAAAATAATTGAATTTCTGCAATAATTTGTAACTTTTCCAAAATTAAATTTTTTTTGTGGTTTTATCTAAAATTCTTCTATAAATGCATAATTTTTAATAATTTTTGAAAAAGTTCTTTAAGAATTTTCAAATTAATTTGTTTACAATTCAATTTTACAAAATTTCAATTATTCATAAATTCTTTAATTAAATATATAAAAGTAACAAACTAGTTATGCGGGGAACATAAATTGTAAAAACTGTAAAAAGTGTACAATGAAGAATAAATCTAATATAATCTAATATAAAAATAAAAAATTAAAAATAATAATGTCAAAAAAAAATAAAATCTGCAATTAAACTTTCTCAAAAATATTAAATAATATACAGAATTGTTAGTTAAAAGTATAAAAATTCAGATTTTCAAAGATTTTAATTTGAAACCTTTTCAAAATTCAATTATTTCTAAAAATTCACGCTATAATAATGCAATTATTATCTAAAATTTTAACTGAAATTGATTTTTAAACCAATTTTCATTAGAAAATTCTACGAGAATTAAATTATTTAAATATAAAAATAAATATTTTACTTAATAATTGATTACTTATTAAAATTTAATCGTTATAAAAAATTTTAAATACCAAATTTTTAAATAATTGAATTCTTTTGACGAATTTATAAAAATTTTTAAGAATAATTACATTTTTCGAGAAATTTGATTAAAATTTGATTAAAGATAATTGAATTCCTGTGAAATTTTTATTATTTATGAAAATAATTAAATGTTTGAGTAGAATTTTATTACAATTTTTTCGAAATAATTGAATTTTGGAGAAGAATTTTATTATTTATAAAGATAATTTCAATTTTGTCGAGAATTTTTTTTTCATTTTTGATCGTAATTGAATTTCTGCGAAGAATTTTATTACTTTGAAAATAATTGACCAACTTTTTGTCCTTTTTCAATCAAATTATAGATCTTTTTTTAAAAAAACTGACTTTTACGGACTTGAAGCAAATTTGCGGACTTTTACGGAATTTACGGACCTAGTTCGAGCCCTGATTGGAAGGAATATTTGGAAATATTTTGAATAAAAGATTAGCTTACGCTCGGATGCAGGTAGAGATTGAATAGCTCTTTGCATAATGTATCGTGATTTATCTTTCAATCCAACTTTGAGTAGAACAGCTCCGCACTTGATCCACATTTCCGGTTGATCCTTGAATTTTTTCACAATCATATTAACGATTTTTTCCATTTCAATTTGCTTGCCGGCCTCACAATAGGCAGTGAGCATGTGAGAATAAATTTTCGCCGCATCATTCACGCGGACAGCTTCATGAAGAACGTCATTCAATGATTCTGTATTGCCAAATTTAATCTCTAGATTCAGCCAAGCTTGCCATACATTTAGTCTCTCGTCCTCTTCGCGGAAATTTATCGTCTTCACGGCACGTTTAGCAACGGCTCGTGCCTTCTCGACTTCAGTTGCTTGCAAATGATAGGCCATGTACTGCAACCAAATTAAAGAACTATCTGGACTACCGAGCACTAGTCTATCAAATTGATCAACAGATTTTGGCATATGATCAGTGGCCGCCAATGCTTCTTCTCGTTCACGAATTTCCCTCTCTTTTTCTCGTTCCTGTTCTCTACGCTCGGCGGCTGTGAGTTTCTTCTTCTTTTGCTTCAATTGCTCCTGAATTTCCCCATCGTTTTCACTTTCACTCGAGGTTTCTTCTTTTTGATTCGTCAAACTTGGCATTTTGTCCCAATAAAATCCACATTCGGGGAGTGTTAGTTCGGTATTTTCTTCAACTTGCATCAAAATTTGTTCTTCTTCTTCTTCTTCTTTCTTTACTTCTTGCTTCTTTCGTTTCTTCTGAGAAACCTCTTGCCCTAGTGTCGATCCATCTATTTTTCGTTTTACCTTCTTTTCCTCCTCGTCTTTCTCCTTCGAATCGATCGAGAGTGATATTTTTCTCTTTTTCGAAACTTGTTGATCTTTCTGTTTCGAATCGTCTTTGATCGGGAGTAACCTTTCGAAAACATGTTTATTAATGGAGCATTTTTTCGCCTCGAAGACTGATTTCGGTAGGCAGATATTTAACGAATTACAGCTGTTCAGTACGACAAAGCATCGTACCTTTTGACCGATCTTGTAGGTCGATAAATCCGGATTCAAATCATTCAAATGTAATCTCGTAGGCATGACAACAAATCCTCCTTTATATTCTCCTTTGACAAGAACAATAAGAAACCAATTTGTTATAAGAATAATTGTACCACGTAATTTTGTTTCGAGTGGTAATTTTTGAAATCGAGTTTGATTTACACTGATCGACGAGACAAGGTGTGGTAACAATGTAACTTCCAACAGTTCATAGATGAAATTGATCCAGAGTACGACTCCTTTAACCTTATCGCCAATTTTCACCCCGCCTTGATAATGTTCCCTACGAACGGTTGCCTTTAGATTTTTCTTTAATTTTAACACTAAACCATGCTCGGTAATTGTTTCGACAGTTCCATCGACTTTTTGTCCTAGTTTCACCGACGATATGGGCCGTGTTTTGAAATAATCCTTCTCGGATAATTCCTTCGTTTTTAATAAATAAATACCGAGTGTATCGATAGCTGACATTGTTTCCGTTGATACTTTCCATAAATCATGAAGACGTGTCGATACACTCACTTTTTTCGCCTCCTTATCAATTGACAGAACTTTACTGAAAAGAATTTGATTCTCCCGAATTCCACTGTCGAAAAAATTCTTCTTCACTTCAGCTTTGCCAAAAAAGTTGTCAATGGGTAATGTTACCCGACAAACATCATTTGTGACATTTTTCACCGAGCAGAGAATTGTCGAATTCGGTTTTAAATTTTTGAATGAAATACCCGCTTGGGGAACGAAGGATACACTCAAAAGTAATGCGGGAGCGGTTGAAAAAACAAGGGCAGAAATTTTATCCCCTGGAATTGATTTTGAAGCGAGTAAATTTCCCAGTTCGGGACATGGTGCAATGTGTCCTGAAGGTATAAATCCAATTGCTTCCGAATCGTCTTTCGTAATTTTTACCTGTATTCCCTCTGTCGATGAATTGAGGACCGCACCGTTTACACTTTCGCCGACTTTAAAGGACATTTTTTTCTTAATTTCCTTAACGATTTTCAAAGTTAGTCGATTATTCACAAGATCGATGTTCTTAATTGTTACTGTTACCACTTCGCCTACAAAATGATTCCATTTTCTCGAAATTAATTGCGGTTCAAGAAAAGATAGAGGAACCCATCCGGCCAACTCGCCGAAGAATTTTACCAAAATTCCCCTCTCTGTAATTTGACGCACTGTCCCTTGATATTGACATCCAACCTCAGCTTGGTGAATATCATCAAAAATTGGCAAATTACTATTGATTAGAAGAGGTTTCATTGTAAATGTCAATTTTTTATTGACATTACTCAAAACCTTAGCTTTCACTTTATCGCCGACTTTCAATTTTGAACTTAATTTTTCACTATCCGATGTATGATAAGGAGGAATTGTTCCCACAATTCTATCACTGGAGACCTTAACAAATCCAGTTTCACGATTTATTTCATCGACGATAACATCGACTTTTTCGCCATGAACGAAACTTTCAATCGAAAAATGACTTGCTTCCAAAATATTCTTCTCTGTCGAACAAATATAAACACGATCCATAAGATCGTAGGTGAGTACTCGACATTTATGATCCGATTCTGGTAGAAAAGTTTCTTTAATTTTATTCGAATGAACATGGGTTCTTTTATATGGTATCAGGCCTTTGAGATCTTTTCCCAATTTGAGAATAATTCCACTTGATTCTTGATATGAAACACGTCCATTGATAATTTCGCCTTTTATTATATGCGCTTTTTCTGGAATTTGCTTCAGTAGAGTAAAAAATGCAAATTTAACTGTTGGAATAATGTACAATAATGTTCCATCGACCTCTAAACCTGGAGTATAATTGGAGAGAGTTTTCGGTAAGTGGATTTGATTGATATAACCAATTTTGTCACCATTATAGGAAACTTGTAGTCCATTTGGAAGAATTTTTGTTATGCTTAGAGTCATTTGCATTCCAGGCAATAAACTATCGAGATATTTTATATGTTCCATTACTGTTTGTAAATATTTATCCTTCGTTGTGAGAGTTATTATCGATGAATTGTCGGAACTTTTTGCATTCTTCACGGCGCACATTATTTGTTTTCCCGGAACTAGAATTAAAATTCAATTAAGTACATTAACAATAATTTGGAAATAATTTAAATTACTTGAAAACAAATTTAACTTTACTTAAATATGATCCACAAGTTTTGAACGTTCAAATGAACGAAACACTTTTTATTAGAAATGTTTTTATAATTTATTGTTTGCAATAAAAATTTAAATTTTACACTTAGAAACTTTATAATTCATTTATTTTATATCGACAAAAAATTATTGTAATAAATATTTAAATTAAAGAAGAAAATAAATAAATTTCGTTCATTTGAACGTTCAGAACTTTAGGATCATATTTAAATGACATTTTTTTATCAATACTTAATTTTAATTATTAATTAATTTACTCACAGTAAATAGAATTATGACGATCCTCAATGTCCGTTTTCGATAAAAATCCACGACAATTTGGAATTCCAGTATCAAGAACATAACCATGATCCTCAACGCTGCTTATTGAGCAAATAATTTTCGATTTATTGGTGATTGAACTGGAACTTAGATTCTGATTAATTAAATTCGGTTCCAAGGATAAAGAAATTCGCCAATTTTCTTCGCCGAGAGCTTTAACGTAAGTGATCACATTGTCTCCTGGACTGAATAATTCCGCCAGGGTCCTAAATTCTGATAGAGAATCGCCTTCCGATTTGACTACGTTTTGCAATAGATTTGTGTAGGATTCACTGATATCGGTGACTTTTACACGTCCAGTTAAACGTCCTGGTAGAGATATAATTAAATCGTAATCCCTGACTAAGTGTACTCTTCCTAATATCACCATTCCCTCGCATATATTTGAAAACGTTAACGATTGTGCCCTGGATGCAATAAGTGTCTCCTCATCGTTACTCTTCTTTGAGGTTCTTTTCGTTTTAATTTTCCTCGCCTTTATCAGATTATTCTTCTCGAATAATATCTAAAAATTAATTAAAATTTCGTGTTAGTTGTCAATAAAATCGTTGAGTCATTTGACTCAATTTGTATTTACAAATAAATAAATAAATAAAATCAAATAAAAAATACATCTCTAAAATGGATAAAGTAGAAAGAAAATAAATTAAATCAATAAAACAAACTAAATTATGGCAATTGAGTTCATTAGAACTTCGTCAAGTTCAGAATTTTAGAAGAAAAATAATACGTACAGATTTTGTCGAGGGTGCAACTAAGGGTTTCTTTCCACCACGGGGAAAATCCTTCTGAGTCATCTGTAATGAAATTTATTATTTATTTAAACATTTATAGATCGAAATAAAAAAGAAATCAGTCGTATTATAGTAACAAGTTAGGTTATAAAACGTAATATACAGTATAATAACAATATTCTTTCAGTTTTTTCTCCCTTTTAAGTTTTAACAAAGAAAATACCAAATTCATAATTTCCATATAATTTATTTGTACTATTTTAATTTGCAAATAATTTAGAAAAATTCTAACTGTACAAACTGTTTATTAATCTTAAATGTCAAACAATAAACATATTATTATAGGAAATAACAAATAAATATCAATATTTACCTTGAAAAATCAAAGAAACCGATTTTAGTAAAATTTTTTAGTACTAATAATCCGTGAATAATTAATTAAAGGAATTAAACATTCCTAAATAAATATACAAAATAAATCCACGTGCAACACGTTTTTAAAGTGAGGTTATGTTTGATTTGGATATTGCGCATGTGCACTAATAGCAGAAACTAAAGTGCGCCAATATACAAAAAATATCCGTTTTTCAATCGAATAAAATAAGAGTATTTTTTCTCAAAATTAATTCAATGGTGCGCATAAAATTTGACTGAAAAGCTGAAAATCAAGTAAATAATTAACTAATATTAATATTTGGTACTTCTCTATTCTATCTATTTAGTTCATAGCCGACAAGGGCCTAATTACGTGCAATTTCAGTGACCAATGAAAATCAAGGAATTTTTCATTTGATTTTTGCAAACTTCCGGTTTCTTCTGGAAAATCCGTTAACGTAAATTTTAGTAATTTGAGATATGAAATTAAAAAATGAATCCCTAAAATGAAGTGTATTCTATTGATTTTACATTTCCGTGTGTAGTGAGATTGTTTGCTTTCAGTAATTCAGAAAAAGGTGAGTATATTTTTATCAAATACTTGATAAAAATTGATCATTTCATCGCCTGTTTGCGGACACAAGGTCACCTTTGCCAAACGTATTTTTTCTGCGTGTATGCGGACTTTTATTTCCGATTGAACGGAAAAGTAGCGGAAATGTAATTAAATGTGCTTACAAGAGAATGGAATATTAACAAAATTCTTTGTTAGCAGGTCATCTGGGGCAGATTTTCACGTAAACGGTACTTGTTCTTTTACTTCTTTTCGATATATAATTAAATATATATATATATATATACTCTCTAAATCTGAATATGTGAAATTTCACTTATTGTACGTTATAAGTCGTCCTCTCGATCAATAAGTGCATATACACTTATAAATAAGTGAATTTTTCACTTATTCTGAGTGAAATTTCACTTATTATAAGTGTATATGCACTTATTGATCGAGAAGACGACTTATAACGTACAAATATGTGAATTTTCACATATTCAGATTTAGAGAGTATATATATATATATATATATACGCAAGGAAAAATTGAGGACAACAAAGGTCGAAGGAGTTACAGTAGTAAAAGAAACGATCGAAACGACTCAAGTATCAAGGATTTCAGGGTTATATTTCTTATTTTCACCTATACATTTATTATACAAAAGGTATTTGAGGTAAATATTCATAATTAATCGTTTTTACTGGTTAGAAATTATAAACAATTAATAACGCATTCCTATAACCTCAAAATAAGTGTATATTCACGCGGATACTTTTTTTTATAATATACTTAACAATTGAAAGAAAAGAGTAAATAATTGTCTAAATCTATGAGTAAATTCTTCTATTTACTAATTCTATTAGTAAATCTTTTTATTTACTATAATTAAATATTACTTTTATATTGGTGACATAGCCGTGAAAAATCGTTTGACGTCTTTTTTTTACGCAAAGAATGTGTGTTACTAGTGTGTGAAATCGAAAGCAACGAAGGGAATATATAATTAAAAGAGTTGCCTGTGAAACAAAAATATATAATTCTATTTAAGGTACGTAACTTTCAATTTATTAATTGATTTATGCTTTCATCTGCATTTTTTTGTCTTTTATAGACAAAAAATGGTATAATTGGTGCAGATATGTAATCTTTCGAAAAAATCGTTTTTATTTTCAGTACTTCTTTTTCCTCTCTTTCGTGTATAGAACTGTTTAATCAAGATGTCCAAGTTTTTTTTTTGTTTTGCAGTTATACAATACATTTATTTTCATTATAGGCAAGAAGTTTCCTCATTGACCACTAGGTAAATAGTTTTATTTTACTTTATTAAATGTCTACTTTGCATATTTAATAAGTAGTTTAGTTAATAGTTCAATATTTATTTAATAATTACTATAGATTTTCCAAATGTTTTACCTTTTTATTAATATATAGAAAAATATATTCTTACCCCGAATTGACAATATTTGCATATTTAATAAATAGTTTAGTGAATAGTTCAGTATTTATTTAATAATTATTATAAATTTTCCTAACGTTTTACTTTTTTATTCCGTTGATAGAAAAATATATTTTTAACCCAAATTGACAAATTATTGTTTTTGGTTACAAAGAGCAAATTTATTGAGAAGGAAAATTTGTCTTTTTTTTGCAAAAATAATTTTTTTTTCAAAGGTATGTTTATTTTTTAAAATGAGTGTTTTTGTATATTATTACACATCTTTTATTGTATTTAAATAATGTTTTATTTATAAAAATATTAATTTTTGTATCATTTATTACCCATTTCCTAAAGGTCCTCAAAAAAAAGTGTTTCGCTTTCGCAGTGACCAAAATAACTTTTGACCGAATCATCAGAAATCAAAAAGTAAAATAGATTCTGTTAGTTAATGAGAAAATGCTGTCCTTGATCGAAGGAATTAAACAAATATCACTTTTTCACAAAATAGCAGCTTCTTAAAAAAAATTTTATTTTCATGAAAAAGAAATCGTCTTAAATTGTTGATTTAAATTAATAATTTTAATTTCATTTAAAAATTCTTCGATTAAGGACAGCAAAATGTAGTTGTTGAGATTTTTTGAAAATTTGAGCCAAATCGGTCTAGCGGTTTTTGAGATATCGTGTACACCGACTTAAAAAACGTAGTTTTGGGGCTGTCCATAAATTACGTAACACGTTTAGGGGGGAGGGGGGGTTCGAGAAAATGTTATCATATGTTACATGGGAGGGGGGGGTCAATCATCATTGTTACGTAATATTTATAAGGAACTTAATCTCTTTATAATGGATAAATTTTTGAAAAGCTGTCCCTTGCCGCCACTTCAATATAAGTAAAAATCGAATCATTTCGCGAACCGATTCTTGGGAATAATATACAATTTTTATTGTTAAAAAATCAATGTTATATTTTTGGTTGTTCAGTATGATTAATAAAATTATTCCTCTAAATGTTTTTTATATTTAACTTAATTTTGTATTGCTATTGTACGATATAAATACTAAAAAAACAGTAATAAACAAATTTGTTTCGAAAAACGTTAGTAAAAAAATATTTTTAAAAATTACGTAACATTGATAAGGAGGGTGGGGGGTGTAAAACGATTTTGTTACAACTTGTTACATAGGGGGAGGGGGGGTTCAAAATTTCACTAAAAACGTGTTACGTAATTTATGGACGGTCCCTTTGAGAAAAAACGAGTTTAAAGTTTCACAAACGGCACTGCGCCGCCTTGCTAATTTGGTCTGTAACTTGATAAATATTCCTCGAATCTTAATAAAAAATTTTGTCACAACAGTCAAATATATATATATATATATATATATATATATATATATATATATATATATATATATATATATATATATATATATATATAAACTGCAAAAAAATTGATTTTTTGAAAATCGTGACTAGGTATAACCCCTTAATAAATTTTCTCAATTATATGATATAATTGAAGATAAAAATTGCAAATTTTGGAATTAAATTAGATATGATTTACATTTTATGAAAAAATGTATCTATTGTGGATTCGTATGATTTCTTTTTTTAAGGTGGAAGAAAGAAGATGGTCCCATTAACAGAATTCTGATGAACGAAAGTACGAAGTATTATGCCATTTACCTTACCACCTTCATTATTTGGACGATCCCACCTCTTGCTTTCTGCTACCTCATACCAGATCATCTTCTTTGGTAAAAGCAGTTATTCTCTGTGGAGAGAGCACAGACAGCATCATGCTCTTGGTGAGTTCTGAAATCATCTTTTTTACTTAAATAATTGCTTTCGTATTTTAATTTTACTTTCCCTCTTCCTTCTTCCGTATTTTCTATTCTCGATTTCTTTTCGATTTTCTTTCACCAAACTTTTTTTTTCCTCAACAAAATCTATATTATTATTTATTAATAATTTTCATATTTATTTTAACAATAAATTCCATTGCTAAAATTTAAATAATTAATTTCTTAATAAGTAATTAAAATAAATAAGCTCTAAATATATTTTATTAGAATTTATTTAATTTAGTGACTGATAAAATTAATAACAGTTAAAATTAGAAGTTTAAATGTTAATAAGAAAAATTAATATCAAGGGAAGAATATAATATTTTAAATAACAAATAAGGTTTTCTCTATCAGGAAAACAGAATGTTTTTCTTTTCCGAATTTTCAAAAGATGCCTTCTTTTCTCCGCTTTTACAATATTAATTTTGGTCGCTTAAGGTGTTGGTAATTATAAATAAAAAAACGTGTTAAAGTGTTAGTGCGTGATTATTTTGACATTTTTCGGATAATATTCTGGTAAAATTTGTGTTAAATTAAAGAATTCTTCGTCTAAAGAAACCCCGAATTTATACCGATTTGGGGAATATCCTCAATTTTTTAAAGACTTTAATTTAAAAAAAAGAGAAAAAAATTCTTTGAAATCTTAATTTTTCAGAATAATATACTATTTCTAGTAAATTAGTGCTTTTGCCATAAACGGAGTTGTTGATTATCGTGTGTTGATTTTGTAAATAAAGCAAAGTTGTCATGATAAAATGAAAGTAATTGCCCATTTGAATAAATTGGATTCGATGCGGTCAAGTGCGATGAGAAAATTATCATATTCTGATTAACATTATGCTTTTCAATGTCAATATTTGCTGGCATTAATCTATTCTTTTTTAATTTCGTTAATTCAACTTCTTAGTTTGCAAGAATATTTTTTTTATAGTTGCAGATAACAAAACTAGGTTAATAGAATTTTAATTACATTACAATGTACAATAAACTAAATTTCCTTTTCATTTCTCAATAAATTTTATCCCGCGTACTGTAATTGTAAAAATAAAATTATAAATGACTAATACCATGGTCTAATTAGTAATCGCAAGAAATGAGTGGGTAATTGAACAATTTTGCAAAATCATATTTCTTTAATTATATATTTCTATTAATTATTAGATATGTAATTAGTTTGACAAATTTTTCTGTTTTTCTGCTATTTTAATTATTATTAATTCAAAATTTAAATGATTAATTTAGAATTAAAATTTGAACATTGTTTCCTGTAGAAAGCGCAAAAAAAAGTTGCTAAATTTTTCTCTTTATGGAA